CTCAACAGTTTATATCATTCAAAATTGCCAAAACCTAATATTTTCCTTGATACATTTCATGCATATTCTGCGGAAATCTTGTTAAAGCTTCTCGATATTCTCACTTTTTACAGTGTTTTAACCACACTGTATATTAGTATATTGTATATAATTCATACATAAAAAATTTGTTTATTAAATGATTTTTCCTATATTTGCCATGCATTGCACGCAACGACACTGTTTCTGTGTTCCTTGAGAATCCAGTTGACCATACCCGTTCCCACATTTACATTATATTAACCCCTACCATGCTTTCAGACTGCCACCTTTGCAACATCTTAGCCGGCTATGGATTACTTGCTTTGAACTTAGAATTTGTCCCCTATCCCCATTCATTCAACATTGCCTCTCTTTTGGACCGACGCTGTTGCGACATCGTAGCGGGCTACAGGGTACTTGATTTGGACTTACAATCTTTCACACCATTCCATTCATTAAGTGATGCCTCCTCATCACAGTCATCCTCCATTCATGCTCCGTTGCCTCACTTTCAGATAGCCGCATCACAACATCATAGCTGGCTACAGAGTACTTGGTTTGGACTTAGAATTTTTTCCACTGGCATTAAGTGATGCCTTAGTCTCAGATCGTTGCCTCACTTTCGGACCACTGCCTACATGTACGTTGTAGCTGGCTACGGGGTACTTGGTTTGGACTTAGCATTTATTTTAGCCATCCCCATTCATTCATGTCCTCCATTCACTGACCCTTGTATCCCCATGTGGAATCCCATTTGGTTAGTTGTTGCCCATTTGCTACTTTGCCCATTTGCAACTGCACCCATTTCATTTTGCAACAAATCGGGGGGTAACTTTCAAGTGGCGAAGTATTCTGCAGTCATTCCAATCCGGTAAATAAAATCCGCTTTTCAATCAAATTTTCCCATGAGAGCAGGCTTCAATCTTTACAGCGGCTACCAACGGCCACTGCCGCCATGCCCCGGTGAATAGCCGTGATGCCTTTTAAAAATAGAACGTACCTTTCGGCCACTTGGCCGACGTGCCCCTCTTTAATGATCACTAGGTGCCGACGTGTACATGTATTTTAAAGTTGTATTCAACTTTCAAGTTGCCGTTTAGCGCTAGCGTTTCTGTCAACGGCTGGCCAGCCGCACTGAACACTTTTTTTTGTCACAGACTGGTTTTGCATCACCCTGTGCATAGACGACATGGTATAGCAACTGTATCATCGTAGTTGAGTTGTGCGATTCTAAAAACGTGACACTATACTGCTTTTATACATAGACTGGCTACAAGTCGCACCACAGAATTACACATTCTGCACCGATTGGATACTGTACATTGCGTTATTGAGACCGAGTCACTATTATTTTGGGGTTGTGGATGGGAGTACCATCCAGTCTATTTTGTCTTTGCTGTTTTAATGCAGTGGTATGTATTTATGTGGGCACCAGCGGGTTTATATATATTGGATAAATATTCGTGACCTAGTGACCGACTTCCTTGAATTGCATTGTTTGTGAGTACTTGCATTGCTTTTCATAATACAGTGTTTCATATGGCATCACGAAAAGTAATAAGACACAACACCAAATGGTAGATTAAAAGTTAGTACAGTATTATTTATTTGTACTTTTCACAATTCAAGTAGTGTCACTGCTCAGCATGTAAACAGAAACAATGAATATTGTAGGTTGAAAGTTAAACACCATCTTGAAATAGAAGGAAAGTCTGTTAAAGTCACCAACAAGTAAAAGTTTCAAAATGGCTTTGGTGCCCTTTTGGTTTTGGGGAGCATTCAAGGCCAAGTAGCTTTGACCCTATGAAGCTTGAGGTTGAAGCCTGTGAGAGCAACCTTGAGGTACGTGTACATGTACAGCACCTACATAGCTCTTGAAAGCGGTGTAACAGAGGTTTCTAGACTACATGTACATGTGTGAGACCAAGTTTTTTTGTTAAAATCTGACGAATTTCCTCACCAATCTCGTCCACCCGGCGATGATTGCACCGTTCATGCCGTTTGTGTATCATATTGCGTATACATGTACCGTACATGTACATCAGGCCGGTCAGTGGCCAAGCTTGCTCTGTGTTTCGGTTTGACCGTCTTTTTAAATCTGAATTTTAAAGTTGGCAAAGCATTGCAGGGGAACATCACGTCAACTTGTTGTGCAACTTGTGTGAGGTATGTCAGATTGTGTCCCAGTCCTTAGTTTCTTTTAGTTTGTCCCAAATTTTACCAAGTTCCTCCTTGAATGAATGTAATGACTTTGCACATATACAGATGAAGTTAGTTTGTTTCGATCCTTTACAGTTCTTGGAAAGAATCTGTTCTCCAAAACTCTTGTACATGTCCAAAATTGTTGTGGATTCCCTCTAGTTGTTCTTGACTTGGGCAACAAATAGTTTTCAGCCGGTATACATGTACCAACCAATCCCTGAGTTATCTTGTAGTACATATTACTGGTAATTAATCTGTTGTATCTTCTTTGCATTTCAAGTGAAGCCTAGTCAAGACTTGGACGTTAGGCCTTCATCATTGATAAACCTTATCTCTGAGAGTACTGCATAGGTGATTTTATACAACGGTATACGTAGAAAGGCATTGTGGGAAGGAAAAAAGGAGCAGATGTTGTCCCTTTTTCCTTCCCACAATGCTTTTCTACCATTCGTCATGTGCCAGGAAGAAGGACATGTGCAAGTATCTGTGTATTACGCCATTTTGCTGGGAAGCATGATCACTGCCAAAAAAACTTCCTGACAAAAGAACGCACATGTACATGTATGTACCACTGTTTTATTTTAATGAAATAAAGAAATTTTTTTGCAAAAAAGTTAGAAAAGAATTTCTTAAGTTGTTTAATAAGTTGTTCAAAGGTTGCTTTTTGTACAGCCTTTGTTGATTTTGTAGCAAATTGTATCCATTTGTACAAAATAAAGAGAGTGTGACTCTTACGCCCTTTGGCCTGGAACATTTTTTCTGCTGTGATCATGCTTCCCGGCAAAAGGGTGTCAGTGCACTTATGCTTTTGCTGGGCACACAATGCATTGTTTCAAAATCACCCAAGTGGTATTAGCGATAAGTCTTATGGCATGGATGACTACTGTCCAGGGTATCGGTATATCTATTCATGATCTTGCCATAACCAACTCTCCTTCACAATATTTTTTCACACTTTTACCGTACTGAGACAGCCGATATTTTGTTCCCATTTTCCTTATTGATTACATACATGTAAATGTTTATTTGTAGGTTCTTCAAACATGTCTTCATGTAGCTACCACTACTGCAGTGCAGACATGCTGCAAACAATCGGCATTGACTGGGATATATAAAACCTTAAATTAAAAGGTCACACAGCGAGTTTCTGGAACCCCCCGTGGCTCGTGCAGTTGTCCTATGGGGATTTTACATAAGGCTGTCCTATCATGTTCGATAATTTTTGGAAGAATGACTCCTAACTGAAACCATTTCAAGAAACACTCGTCTGAAATTTACCGTACCGTACGTTTGTCCTCAAGTCAAATTTTGGAAAAGTCCTGGCAGAAGATGGGTAAAAACGAACTTCATTAACCTTAATGATCCCAAACCTGCCAAATTTCAACACCAGTTGAGATTTGCAAAGATGTGGAAGGTTGCTTATAAATCACCCTAGAGGGAGTTAGGGTGAATGACCTGTCACGTCCAGCAATATCTTTCCTATGATTCCCTTGGTCTTGTTGATGCACGTNTATGCTAATGTGAAAATGAGATTGTACAATGTTACAAAGATCTACTGCTACCTACACGTACCTGCAGTTGATGGGTTTTACCAAACATGTAAATTCAGTCGAGTTGACCTGATGTAGTTCTTGTTAGTGAACATTAGAAAGAATGCGGATTATTCAGGTTATTTCTTCATAAATTGTAAAATGCTAAAATATTTAAATCTGTTTTACATTAGCTTTTAACAAAAGACTAGTATGATAGAATGTACTAATTTGTAACTATTCATTTCCAAACGAGAACACAGAATTGCACTGATCTTCATGTACATGTATTGTAACGTCTCTCAGGGTAGAGACTCATTATCAAAAATAAGAAGACATGAAGAGAGTCATTGGATTGATACACACACTACTGATTTATTCTGAAGAATTATTTACATGTACATCGTCTCCATATTTACAATGATCAGCTTCTCTTGCTAGTGAGGCTGGATATGTTCATCATAGGAACAATGAGCAGAGAACAGCTTGTCCAAATCTAAGCTGTTTATTTGGGAGTGACAGAGAGGTTATTCATATCAGAGCTACACACAGGAACAGTAGTTGTTACTCCAGAGCTGCCCACTCCGGAATGAACAATGCTGCTCAGCAGAGCTTGTCACTTTTTAGTGTAGACTTTGGGCTGCGTCTTAGCCAATGAGAGCACTGGATTGGGGTGGTTATAAATAATTCATACATGTACATGTAGAAAGTCTATGGAAGAAAACTCTTGTGACAAGTTTGTGTACACTTGGTCTTGCTGACGTCCTGGTTCCTGGAGAGCAATAAAGTCAGAGAAGTTTGGGAGCGAGATGGTGAAAGGCGACTTGTGGGTGTGGTAGTGTGCTACGGGGGACCGGGACTTGGTCAATGAGGAAAAGGAAAGAGTGAGCCTTTCTCAATACACTGAGTTGTGTACAACACTTAGTCTCTGGACTGCCAGAAAATCAACACACAGTTGTTTTGGGGTAAAACTGTGATGAGTGGAGGTAATTGACCATGCTGTGCCACGACCGGACACAGACTTCGGCATGTGGTTTAGTGGGACACATACGCTGTTAAGTGGGGGTCTGTGTGGGTCAAATGTACGGGTAAACTGTGTGACTGAAACTGCATGTATAGGATTGACTTCAGGAAAGATTTGGGGGAAGTGACAAAGTTAGACATGTGCTACGGAGTTGCGGTTCATGTATTGTCCACGTACACATGTTACCATGGTTTTAGTAGCAGGGTCCTAAGGATTACCAAGCTGTGAAACATTTGTTTTACAGCCCATCTAGGCCTGTACTCCTTGAACAATGGGGCTCATCATTCCACCTCTGAGCTCCACAGAAAGAAGACAGCCTAGACTACCGGTAGTTCACTAATGAATTTTGTTCTTCAGGATGTGTGAATGCAGCTATATGGCCAGGGAAGGCAGCAAGTTTGAGCAACCAATTAGAAATAACAGGAGGCACGAATTGAACATCATTTGTTCCCAGATTCTCCAAAGTTTTTCCTCATTTTTGTCTTTGGGAACCATCTAATGTCAATATAATAACAACTGTTTGGTCTCGGAGGGTTTTAAAATGTGGAAATAAAGAATGAAAAATTTGCTTTCACCTTAAATGCACAAGGTCAACAGAAATGAACAGGGCTCCTTTCCGAGTGTTTTCAATAAACAGGTTTGTGATTCAGGGTACCATGGGCCATTACAGTTGACATTTCGTGCATGTGTGAAAGACCAGCTTCATTTTTACGTACGTCACGGTCAGTAAATTATGGCTTTGTTGCCATCACAGGCTTTTTATGTCTGATGGACAAACCTTGTGTTGGCATGTGGTGTTCAAAAATGTACATGTACCTGTGTACGTCACCATTTGGACAAAAGTATACCGTTCAGTTTTGTTGAAGCAAAACATTACTTTTTATGGAGTTTCAAACTTCAAAATCAAAGAGTAGAATCCAGCCAGAGCAACAAACAGTGGTGAAGCTGAGATATCAAAGACCAATGATTCAGGTCGTGTGAGAATGGTACATGTACATGGCAACCCGACGTACATGTACATGTACGGTACGTATCGTACAGTTCGGTTTTGAGCTCATGTAGACGGGAACCCTACAGATTTCTGTCAACCTCGTGGACTTGGAACAAAAGAACCTTTTGAAGTCTTTATTTCATACTCCAAAATCCCTATCAGATGAGAAAGTATTTAGCTAGGATAGATTTAAAGGTTTTTCTGCAGACAAAAGTGGAAAAATATGCAGACACTGAGAGAAAATGACCTTGAAATTTGTAATGTATACATTTGCAGTGGGTCGCTCAAGCTTGTTGCCTAGCTGTTCTGGATCTATTGTTAACTTGCAGACTGGCATGTTGCCAATTCAAAAAAATCCCCCCATCTGGGCTGAAGTGCGTCTTTCATACACACATATATGGCATGGAAACTTGCTTTCAGTTAGTTGTTACTTCAATGTACCAGTATTAGTTGACCTTCATGACTTTCTGACACTCTCCCTAGATGACTTTTCGGCATCCGTTTTTGTCTCACTGTTCAAGCTACATTATCAACCTGATACCAAAATGATGAGTCTAGACCTGTGTTCTTGGCGTTGCCAAATTGGTAAGTTTTACATCAGAATTTCATTTTTCTCCTTCCAGGTACCGTTTCATTTACATGAAGTTTTTATTCAGTGCTAAAAGGATGCACATGGACATATTTCTTTCTGATTAAAGGTGGGAATTTATGTTTAATTTGAAAAACATTTAAAAAACCTTCCCATACTTTGGTGTTTCACATACATAATTACATGTATATAGTTAACATTGCACAATGTCCAACCAATGTAAAAATGTACATATAGATTGATGTTGGAGCAAGGACATTGCTTATTATGTTTAGAATCCATTTTTGTCTCAGAAAGTATGGTACATATGTTTTTTGGTAGATGCCAAAAGAGAAAAGTGTTCCGAAAATCAGATTACAATTTACAGGCATCGTTTTGTAACGGCACCTTTAAGATTAGCACTGTTCCTTTTATGTGCTTTATATCTTCATGAGTTCAAAGGTCACACTTTGCCCTGCGCTTTTAACTGGTACCAGTACATGCACCTGTTTTACACACGTGAAGTTGGCAGCACGTGCTCAGATTTAGATCGTTCACTGTTCATGTCGGAAGATTACAGGCTATATTCATCGCTGTTGTTAAGTACCAGTTTTTTTAATGATTATTTATCCTGAGCACTGCAATCATTTTGGAGGACTTTAGCGAGTGCTGTTTGACTGAACTTTTGTCGTGTTGGTGAATTGTCACGAGCATTGATTACTAGCTCGCCCCGTATTAATGGTGCTACATTTTTGCCCCATTTTGCATGGACTTGGCATATGGCATAGTAACCGTTTGTATGAATTATCCTAAGCGTGCGTCTCAAAAATCGGGAACGTTCCTGTTCCGTTGGACCATTCCCACTGGAACGCTGGTGTTCCATCGGAACGTGCCCGCATCTCAGGCACGTTCCAGACCGTTCCAGGCAGTGTTCCGTTGGGAACGTGTGTTCCAAGTGGAATGGTCCTGCTGTTACATTCGCAATTGGGAAGATTTTTGGCATTCATTTCCTAGACCCTGTGTTTGAAGGACAGCAGCTGGAGTGTAGCATTTTGTGATTTACTCCTCATGAAGGTTAACTTTTCTCCTTATATTGCAGCCTATTTATAGCCCAGGGATACACACACCGACATATATGTATACTCTGCATGAAGTCAGCAAGTAGTGATTTTCACTTTTGTATCTCAGTTTAAATAAAAACAAAATTTCTATCATCACATTAACAAATTTTTCCACACCACATTTCCATCTTAGGTTTACTTAAACTTCTTATTCAAATTTAGGCCTATCATAAAAGCAAAGCATGTACGCATGTACATGTACATGTACGCTCGTTTGTCATGGCAGGCTCTGTGTTTGGACATTGGCTAAGATTTGTACATGAGCCATATGAAACTACTGGAATGGGGACGTTCCGATAGGAATGTGTGTTCCCGTCGGACCATTCCCCCAAAGGAACACAGCGTTCAATGTGGAACATCGCGTTCCCAACGGAATGGCTGACCATTCGGAATGAGAACATGGCATTCTAATGGGAACGTTCCAACCGTTCCGAATTTTGAGACGCTCCCTAACTTGAGGAACCTTTTGACTGTGTTGAATAAACTTGGAGTAACGTAGAGCATCGCATTTACAATCTTTACATTGGTGACCCAGACATTTGCAGGGCATACAACCAGCCATGTCTGTGGTGGAAAAAGACACAAAGCCAACTACAGTTGGGGCTGTTACAGGTGCCTCATTTGCTGACAATGAATTATCGCATGCAAGTCCCTCCCCAGTAGCTGCTGTCAGTCTCAAGTTACTGCTCTTTTGGCCCAATAACCCAGCCTTATGGTTTGCCCAAATGGAAGCACAGTTCCTCACAAGGAAAATCACGACACAGGACACAAAGTATGCATAGGTTGTTGGATCATTGCAGCCTGAAGTAGCACAGGAAGTGTGTGATTTGCTGATCACACCCCCAGAATCAGACTGCTACGACAAACTGAAAGCAGAACTCATTCTCCGTGCTTCGGTTTCGGAGCAAAGAGACTGCATCAGCTGCCCATATCAGAGGAGCTGGGTAACCGTAAGCCGACTCAGCTGTTGCGTTGTATGACGCAGTTGCTGGGCACATGCTGGGGAGACCACGCAGGAAGAGAACATCCTGAAGCAACTCTTCCTTTAGTGATTGCTGACAAATGTCCAACTCATTCTAGCATCGACATCACAACCACGCCGATCCAACAACTTGCTGAACTAGCCGACAAGATAGTCGAAGTGGCTGTCCCCCACACTGTTGGTGCAGTGTCATCAGTGCCCATGGGCAACCCACCTCTGGCATGTCCACCAACCACAGTCAGCTCCGATCTACACTTACTTCAAGCCAAAGTGGAGGAGCTCACACATCAGGTCAGTGCTCTTACGTGTCAGCTTTCGAGTCAGGAACGGGGAAGACTTAAGGCACGAGATTCCACTCCTTGCAGACGCCGCTCGTCCTCTTGCTCCAGTCCTTCACATGGCAGAAAGAACTGCTGGTATCACTGGCGTAATGGGGCAAATGCGAAGAGGTGCATCTCACTGTGTGCTTTCAAGCCTCGCCAGCAACAGCAGGAAAACCCGGATGCCAGCAACTAGAAGTGACGAGTCCCCCTGGCACTGACACCACCAGTGGCCTATTCTTTATCAACGACCACGGGACTGGGACTTGGTTCCTTATTGACACTGGAGCTGAAGTCAGCGTTTTGTCCCCTACTTCTATGGAAAGATGCCAGCCTCGGTCTTCACCAGTCAGTCTTCAGGTGGTTAATAAATCTCCCATCAGTACATTTGGTGAGAAATCTCTTAAGAGGGATGTCGGTTTGCATCAAGCTTTTCATTGGGTCTTCGTCATCACTGACCTGCCAAACCCAATAATTGGTGCAGACTTCCTCCAACACTTTGGACAGTTAGTTGATCTTCAACGTTGCAAACTCATCGACTCAACAACTAGCCTTACTGTAGCCGGAATTGGGTCGGACACCTCCCCCATCGGCCCAACCATAGCTAAGCAGAGTACTTCTCCCTATGAGACACTTGTTGGACAGTTCTCTGAAGTTACCCGTCCAGTCTACAGCACCAGGGAAGTGAAACACTCACCACATTGTCACCAAGAGACCCCAGTGCCAGCCCACCCTTGTTGCCTCGCACCGGACAAGCTGGCCACTGCCAAAGATGAGTTTAATCATATGCCTGACCTCGGCATCATTGAAGCTTCAGACAGTGCATGGTTATCGCCATTGCATATGGTTCCCAAGAAGTCTGGTGACTGGAAGCCCTACTGTGCCCTCTACAGAATGACAGTTCCCAACTGCTACCCAATTCCTCATTTGCATGACTTCACAGCTAACCTGGAGGGTAAGCGTATTTTCTCGAAGACAGACCTGGTACGCGCTTACCACCAAATACCTGTTCATCCTGTAGACATCCATAAAACTGCCATCACAACCCCTTTTGGTGTATTCCACTTCCGCTGCATGCCCTTTGGTCTGTGGAATGCTGCTCAGACCTTCCAACAATTCATCAAAATGGTTACGTGGGACTTGCTGTTTGTGTACGCATACATCGACGACATCCTTGTCGCAAGTGAGAGGGCGGAAGACCACCTGGAGCATGTGTGTCTGCTTTTCAACAGACTTCCCGAGTATGGCATCATCATTAATCAATCCAAAAACCAGTTTGGTGTTCTCACCCTTGATTTCCTTGGGGACAGAATCGATGCTGATGGCATCCGTCCTATGGAAGACAGGGTAAACACGATCACAGAGTTCCCTCAGCCTACCTCCATCCACCAACTGTGTAGATTCTTCGGAGTGGCTAATTTCTATTTTCATTTTGTTCCGAACTGTACAACCATGATTGTCCCTTTGACAAATCAGCTACGAAACAGGCCCAACCAGTCACGCAAATCAGCCAAGCTGAACTGGACACCCGAATGCCAGACGGCATTTGCTCAAATTAAACAATCTCTCACTGAGACCACAATCCTCGCCTATCCTTTGTCAACTCTGCCAATTGCTGTAATGGTGGATGCCTCGGACACAGCAGTTGGTGGGGTCCTACAGCAATGGTCCGAAGGAGAGTGGTGCCCCCTGGCCCTCTTTTCCCAGAGCCTCAAGCCATTGGAGAGTCGCTATAGCACATTTTGTCGCAATCTTTTGGCCATGTACTTGTCAGTCAAGCATTTACGACACTTCCTCGAAGGCCGGAACTTCTGCATATACACCGACCACAAACCGCTTGTGTTTGCCCTCCATGCTCAACCTGACCATCATTCACCCAGAGAAGTGCATCATCTTGACTATGTGTCTCAGTTTACATCTGATATTTGACACAGTAAAGGTACTGAAAACTTTGTGGCAGATGCACTTTCACTATCCCACATCAGTGCTTTGTCACCGTCATCTAGGATCAACTTTGAACAGATGGTCGCAGACCAGACCCACGATTAGGAACTACAAAGAGTCGTGAAATCACCCACGTCGCTTAAACTCAAGCAAGCTCCGATCCTTGCCTCGAGGGCATCAAACTGGTGCGACATTTTGACAGGTCATGAATGCCCTTTTGAGCAATACACATACGCAACTGAACTGCTGAAACTGTCGCCAAAGCCTTTGTGAACAGATGGGTGTCTACCTTTGGTGCTCCATCTATGATAACTACAGACCGCGGACGACGGTTTGAATCTGCATTGTTCCACACACTGATGACCCTCCTCGACACCAGATGTCACAAACGACGGCATACCATCCTGCCACAAATAGTGTTGTGGAACGCCTGCACAGACAGCTCAAGGCCTCACTCAAGGTAAGCCAGGATCCACACCATTGGACTGAAGTATTGCCACTTTTCCTCCTAAAGCAGGATCTTGGTTGCTCCACCGCAGAGTTGGTGGTGGGATCCACACTGAAACTCTTGGGACAGTTTGTTGTACCACTCAGCAATTCTGACCGTCAGGCTGACCCGGCAGACTATGTCCATCGATTGCAAC